CACACACACACACACACACACACACACACACACACACACACACACACACGGGGGGGGGGGCATTGTCTCAAGTTTGATACATGGACACCTTTAAAGCTGGCACCTATGTCCTTTTGGGACATCCTTTCTGTTTTTAGCATTTTCTCACTTATGCACATAAAGATAATAATCTCAATATTCCGTAATAAAGGTTGAGCAAAGCAATGCTTTCACTCTGGAAACACTAGTCTATAGAAGTAGTCACAACATGAACACCAGGAAGGTAAGGAAGAAGGCACCAGCAAACAGAGATGACAGAGTCATGTTTCCGCCCTCACTCCAGGGGAATTAGCAACTTCTGACAAACTCTTGCTAAGTTTTGGCTTTTGGCTTAACAACTTCAATGTTAGGAGCCTATCAGAAAACAGACCGCTAACAAAAAAAAATATGTGCACAAGTTTCAGCTTGAGGTTATTTGTAAAAACAAAATGTTGGATATAATCTAAATATTCCCTGTGTCCAGTGACATATGTTGTGGTGATTTTACCATTGAGAAAGAAAGATTTCCATAAAGTAATGCAAAATGATTTCCATTAATCTACTAAGTTAAAAAAAATAAGATACCAGAGGTAGGCAAGGGGGAGGGTGGAGTGGGGATAGGGAGGGTGGGGTGGGTGTGGGGAGGGGGTGAGGTGTTAGCTCAGCCATTAAGAGCTTGTCCTGCTTTCCCAGAGGATAGAGTTTGATTCTCAGGCTCATGTCAGACAGCTCACAAATGCCTGTAACCCTGGGGGATCAGGCAGCTCTTCTGGGTCCATGGGTGCTGCACACATGCGTACAAACCACAGAGACACATCAATAATAATAATAATAATAATAATAATAATAATAATAATAATAATAATAAAACCTGGCAGGCCTGCGTCTCGCTTGAGCAGCACAATAGAGCCATTCCTGTTGGTGGAGGTGTGGGTGAGCCATCCCTGAAGTTGTGAACATGGGAGAGCTGTCCTCATTGCTCATCTGTCATGTGGTGGCATAGGCAGGGGAGAGATGTCCTCCTCCCACCCCTCACCGCTACCCCTGCCCATCAATACCTGAGGCAGGTAGGAGAGCTGTCCCTGCCCCTCTTCAGCTATAGTACTCAGCAGAGTGGCCCCTACATCATGCCTGGGCAACACAGTAGAGCTGGCCCTGAAGGAGTAGGGGTGGGAACCCTGGGAATGGGAGAGTGGACCCTGCCCCTTGCTTATTGCTGCAAGGGGTAAACTAGCTAGGGCAGTGAAGGAGAGCTTACCCTGTGGTGAGGACAAGGGAGAGCTGAGAGAATGGCCAGCCTTGCAACTACCCACCACAGAACCAGGGTTAGGAGTTGGCCCACTCCAATATCCACCCCTGTGATCTGCAGGCTCAAAGTTGCAGGATCTCCATCCGTGACACATGGCAATAACAAGATAACCAAGAGGAGTTCCAGTGAGGGCTCAGCATTGATAGTGTAGCAGAAAGCAGAGGCCTCGAAACAGACCAATAACTATTTGTAATGAACACTTGCAAGTAAAGGTATATGGATAAAAGGTATCACGCTAAAGCTTCCATGACGAGACTGATTTTTCATTTTTGTTTTTTTTTCTTTTGAATTTTATTTTGTTTTATTTTGGGGGGTGTTGCAAGGGCAGAGGGCAGATGCTAACGTATAGGGAAATGAATGAGATGGAGATGCATGATGTGAAAGACACAAAGAATAAATGAAAAGAAAGCTAAAAAAACATGAAAATACTATACACATAGTACCCTATGCATTTTACTTTGAGCCATGTTTTACATAAGAGGGAAAAATTCATCAGAATAAAAAGTAATTAACCAAATTAATTATATGATCAAGGAGGGAAAAAAGGAAATTAAGCCTTTGAAACAGGCAGTCTGAATATCGTGCCTCGTGGAATGTATTCTAGAGACAAAAAGGAACTTTGAAATTTACTAAGGTAGGGCTATCATTGGTAGGAACACTGAGGTAGGGATTCCATAGTCAAGGTATATTTAAGAAATCTATTTGTTTTCTTGACAGCTATGATTTACATGGTGGGAAGAAGGGACAAAAACATGAACTAGGGCAGAAAGGAAGCGTGTATGATACTTGCTTAGAACTGGGGCTGCCACTCTGCAGTCCAGATTCTCAAAGGGCCACTCAGGGCTTCTGCATTAATGGAGTCTAACTACAGATCTAAAACACTGAATGGGAGAACCACTGGATTGGAGTATGGATCATTTTTGCCATTCTCCTCTAATAGGAAAGCAGGACAACTGTTCACACATTATTTCTATTGTATGGGAATTATAAGTCATCCATAGATGGGTACATGGGTGGTGGGTGAAGGTCACAAGCAAATCCTACCTACAATGTAGTGCTTGAATTTTGTCAACTTGGCATAAGCTAGAGTCACCTGAGGAGAAGGAACCACAATTGAGAAAATGTCAGAATCAGATTGACCTCTAGGCAAGCCTGTGGGGCATTTTTTTTTTTTTTGAGTGATGATTGATGTGGGAGGATCCAGCCCACATTAGGAGGTACCAGCTCAGGTACCAATGAAGCTATGGGGAATAAGCCAGTAATCAGCATTCCTCCTCTGTCTCTGTTTCAGTTCTGGTCTCCAGGTTCCTTCTTAAGTTCCTGCCTTGGCTTCTCTCAGTGACAGCGACCAGGATGTGTAAGTCAAATCAATTCTTTCCTCCCTAAGTTGCTTTTGGTAATGGTGTTTATTGTAGCATCAGAAATCTAAGACACATGCCCTTTCATACAAGAGATTTTGAGGTTCTTGTGGCTTTGTTCTTTCTGACTTCCAGATGATCTATGATGACTGCATTCTTAGCTCTATACACTGAAAATGGGCTTATTGTAAACTATACCCTTAGCAGTGATGTCTGGGTTCTTAAGTGCTATTCCTCAACCAAAGAAACTACCTATTGGAGAAATAGCTATTTTCAGGTGTGGAGCAGAAAAAATATAAAGTGCTAAAAAAATGTGATAGAATTTCTGCAGAGTATGGAGGAGCTCACTTGAACAGTGTCTTCGTCCTTAAACCATGGCAATTTGGGAACCACAAAAGAGTAATGTCAGAAATGACTCATTTCATTTAAAAAGAACCCATGAATTCACATGGTATTTAGAAAGGAAGGAAAGTAAAGATGGGACCACAGAATTAGAAAATCATCTTGCAAGTTGACAGAATGATTCATGGAGACAGGAGTCATCATTAGATGCGACACCTTGGTAAAGGTTGGCAAGGAACAGGATATTTGCACATCCCAAAATAACACTTGTCGGATCTTTTATTAATTATAAAGCAAACTAGGCTTTTACAAGGAAGAAATCTACCAATCAGTGAAAAAATGTAACATCACTGAGTGAAGACGTCTGACGTCATGCCACCTGGCATGAAGAACAGAGAGAATATAACCCATCCTTAGTGGGGTGTGTGGCCCCAATGTTTAACTCCTCATCTAGTCTTAAATCATTAACAAAATTCAAAGTGAGATGTATTCTACCTAAAATTGATCACAACAAGACCATCATTAGGAGGTGAAGGCAGGATTGATCTGAGTTTCAGGCCAGCCAGAGCCACATAATGAGATGTTCTTGCAAAAGAACAAACCAGCCAAACAAAACACACATACAGGAGCGGCTGCATCACATGACCCTTCAACCCTGACTTGAGAGGCAGGAGAGCTAAGAAGAAGGAACAAACAATGGCAACACAGAACTCCAGGGTCTGGACCAAACAGGATTTTGAAAATGGTACTGTGGGAAAATTTGAATATGGGCAGAAAATTTGATAAAATCATTAACTCTTACAAGTAATGACTTTTCTGATTCATAAAGAATATTTTTTGTAGTGTCTACTACATACTTGCAGAATCCATATGGGGAAGAGAGAGAGAGAAGCAGAGAGACAGAGAAAGGAAAGGGAGAGGGAGGGAGGGAGAGAGAGAGAGAGAGAGAGAGAGAGAGAGAGAGAGAGAGAGAGAGAAAGAGAGAGAGTCTGTGTGTGTCTGTATCTGTGTCTGTGTCTATGTCTGCACACATATACAGGTATATACAAAGAGAGAATAATAGTTTTGGGTAAATTCAGGTGAACTCAATGTTTGTGTTCATTATATTATTCTTTCATCATGTCTGTAGATTTCAAATTTATTGAAATGTTGGAAGAAGGGAACCCATCACATATTCACTTAAAAACCTTTTTTTTTTTTTTTTATAAAGAATAGGTATCACAGTGTACACAGCATAGAATTCATGCCAGAATGATGAAGAAGAAAATAGCTTAGGGAGAGGCAGTCATGTTTAGACTACCCCAAGTCAAACAGAAACCAAGTCAAGTCTTTTGCTAATCAACACCAAACTTGGCTTGACTAAGTACCTCACCAGCCATACATTCTGGAAACCTATGTGGTCTCTGTTTTGGGATATCCATGAAGTTGTCCACCATGAACCCAGATTTCTGTTGGGACAGGATATCACAATCCATTGTATACTTTCATACCCTCATTCATATGACTCTTCTAAATCACTTTGTTCCAGAGCTGTCTAAGTAGGCCATCGAGACTAAAGAGAAAGCAAGTACAAGATACAGAAAGAAGGGAGGAAGGTAGGAAAGAAATATTTTCCCCATTAGATTTGAACTAGAAACTGCTGACAGAGGTATCTTGCAGCCATGAGCTTATTAAAAAATGAATCAGTAGCTAAAGGAACCAGGCCCTGGAGAATTGCATTATCCTGTGGCTCAAGTAAGCATTTTTGTTGGGAGCACATGGCTGATAAATTCCTCCTCTCTCTTTCCCTTTCCCCAAATGAAGTGGTTGAAATCTCTGATCATTTGCAATTCAATCTCAATTAGAATAACACCGTGTAAAACATTTCCTCTGGACAAATCAGGTTATAGAAACAAATGCTGGCTGTTCAAATCCTTCTCTTAAATTCACAAAGCATATGAAGATATTAAGTCAGAGAAGTCCTGCATAAAGAAACCTTCAGACTCTTCATATTGGTGCATCCCAAATGACTGGGCTTTAAAGTGCCTATTAAAAATCCTTAGGAGCAATCTGAGTGCTATGGGGAACATCTATACATCTATATACAACCCCAGCACTTGGGAGAAGATGGAGGGAGGAGAATCATGAGTTGAATGCCACAGTGAGTTTCATATCAACCAGAATGACAGGAAACCCTGTCTCAAAACAATCCTTGCAAATAATGTTTTAGAAGAAACATGTTTTGCACTATTTTTTGTGTGTAAATCATTCATTTACTGCAAAGATATCTCCTATTTCATTCTTAACTTCAATATGCAATATATACCTATTCCTACATTGGAATTTGGGGTCCACGCAGTCAAGTCAAAGGTGGTTTCAACAAAATGCTTACAAAGTTGGCTGGTCTCAGTATGCCGATGGTCTGCTCTGGGACAAAACTTTATGTTTTCCTATTTGCCTCCAGCAGGCTGACTCACACTCCAGTCCTAGGAATTCAATTAATTGTTGAATGAGTAAAATCATTAGCAATTTACTGTTTTTTTTCCTGTGAGTTTTACAATTTGTTTCTTTCCTTCATTTTCCATCCTGCTACACATTAAATTAATGCCTTTATTGAGCAGTCTGCAATAACTCTTTAGTTCTCAGTCCTGGGAGTACAGAATGAGCTCAATGCTCATTAGAGTGCACTCCCAGTTTAAATGATTTGTTCACTGCACATTCCCTTTCACTTTCTAGAATGAAGGGGTCTGATCATTACAGATCTCTTTAATCTTTCATTTTCTTAGACTAAACTCTACAAATGGCAATGTTTCTGGTCCTGTTTTACTTCATCCTTCAATTTAAAAATGAATGGCAAGTTTACCACACTCTTCTAAAGTAGGACATTGGAGAACATGATTATAGGCTATTGTGCACAGACCTCGTAGAATTAATTTCATTCCTTCAAAACAGAACATATAGTTCCAGGGTATCAGGTTACTGGAACAGATGGTTTTACTGCCCTCAATCTACTGCCAGAACACACTGGAGCAATGCAAGTCTTTATAATGTTTTCTGACCTCCAATGACAGCACAGCGATCATTAAAAGAAAAAAAATGGTGATACACTTGAGACTCATGGAAAGAGTGGCACAGTGTTTGGACACAGAATGACCAATACTGAGAAGATACCCAGCTTCATGAAAGCCATTTTAAAATGTTTTCAGAGAAGACTGAGCCAATGGTAGAGTGCTTGCCTAGCATGTGTGAGGTCTTGGTTCCATCCTCTATTCCAAAAAAGAAACAAAAGTGTTTCCTGAGAGGACTGTATTTCCTCCTGTTGGGTTGCTTTGTCCAACTTCAATAGGACAGTTTTTGTTTCTTCTTGTTGTATTTTTTTCTGTCATGTTTGATTGTTGTCTCTTGGAAGTCTGTTCATTTCTAGTAAGTGACAGAAGGGGAGTGGATCTGGAAGGGAGGGGCAGGGAGAATGAACTGGGAGGAATGGAGGGAGGGGAAATTATAATCATCATATATTGTATGATGAATCTATTTTCAAAAAAGAAAAGAATGAATTGCAGTAATCACGATATTTCTGATGGCATTGTTATACTGAGATGGTATTGTATGTACAGGATGAAATAAACCCAAGAACTGGATTTTCAGAATGGAAAAAAAAGATGTAGATGTAAAATTGATAAACATATAAGTTTAAAATGATCTATAACTGATTTCAAATAGAAAATATCTGTATGATATACGGTGTATTTCATGTTTACTGAAAAGTTCTAAAGACTAACCTAATAGTTAACCATTCTTATACATTATCGTAGTCTCTACAAATTGATTAAAAACAAAAAAGGAACAAGGGTCTTTGAAGAAGTGTTATATTCCAGGCAGGCAAAAACTACACAAGAAAAGCAGGAAACAGCTTATACCATACCAGAATTAAATAAAACATAAATAAAAATGAAGACAAAAGTGTAATACGAATCTTAAAACATCTTATTAATAAAAACAAATCTGGAGCCAAGTATTGGGGTAAATGCTGAAAGATCAGAGAAACAGAACAAGCCACAGCCACCTCACCTTGCCAGTTCCTCAGCTGATCTTGTTTCCTCAACTGAAAGCCTCTGAGTCCTCATCTGAATGGATCTCAGCTGAACTGCTGCTAAAAGCCTAAAGGCTTAAAAAGACTCTAGTTCCTGGTCCTCACACCTTATATAACTTTCTGCTTCCTGCCATAACTTCCTGGGATTAAAGGCATGTGTGACCATGCCTGGCTGTTTCCAGTATGGCTTTGAACTCAGAGATCCAGATGGATCTCTGCCTCTGGAATGCTAGGATTAAAGGTATGTGTGCCACTATTTTTTGGCCTCTATGTCTATCTAGTGGCTGTTCTGTTCTCTGAGCCCAGATAAGTTTATTAGGGTGAACAATATATTAGGGGATACAATATTACCACACAAAAGACACTAAAAATACAGGATTCATAACAATAGGACCTCGAAGTCAACTGAATGGGTTCTTACTAGACAAAGAAAGGTAATTTACAACTTCAATGAAATAGTTTAAATATGTCTAATCTCACGAATTCATTAAAAAAAAAAATGGGGGAAAAATAATCAGTAGCCTTTGGGGAAGGCTAAAGAAATAAGTACCTAATGAATATAATTGAAACATTTTCAGCATCTTCCTTGCCTTTCCTGAGGTGGTACCAAGTAATTGATGGACAGTTCCTCCTGTAACTGAAGAAATCACAGTAAGAAAAGAGCCCACTTGGTAAACCTGGATGAATGAATGAGCAGGGCATCCAGGCACTGGCAACTCCCAGATGACAAAGACAAACAGAGATGTACTTCCACATGGAAGTACACAGTTGGCTAGGTTGTCGTCCTCTCCAATCTTCTCCTTAGCAAAAATGAACTTGAATTTGGGGCCTTTTGTCCCTATGACTTACTAAAATGTTGATGTAAACTAAACTCAAGAAACAATCCCCAAAGTGCAACCATCAGAATTCATATCACAAAACTTTAAGTAATCTAGATTACTCAAGTTAAGTTTCCAAAGGAGAGAAAACAGAGAGATTTAAAGGTAACCCTTTTATGAGCCTGGGTCAGAGCCAAAAGGAAGTGGTAAGTAGGAGGAGGAATCTGAAAACTGCATATTTGAATATATAAAGAGACAATTAAGAAATTTTATGTAAAACGGTGCTGTGATTTTTTTTTATGAAAAGTAATGTTTCTTACCTTATAGAAACATATCCAAGGGCATTTAGTGATAAAATGAAGAGTGATATGGGCTTTAAGATGATCCGAGCAAAGGGAGCAATAAACGAAAGAGTGGCCCTGAGTTGACATTATCAAAGTTGGTAATAGGGCCACTGGTACTCATTATATTTTTCTTTTTTTCTTTTGCATTCAATTTTCTAAAAAACACTCGATCATATTTCTAGTACAAGCATGTAAAATAGGAATCAGATGTGAGTCTCTACCCATAATTCAGACCAAGTGGCCTAAGTTTCTGATAAAGCCCCGGGGTATGCCTTTGAATGGAATACCTTAGTACAGAAAGGGCCATGTGAATACAGTATCTTTCTAGTTACTGAAAATGTACAAGGAAGGAACTGAGCACACACTGAGAGCTTGAATTAGGTTTCAGGATCATACTAATTTGGTGGCTTTTTAACTTTTTCAGTATCTTCTCAAAGCCTGACCTGTTTTTAAAAAGAGCAATAACTGTAAAAAGTGCGGTGCTGATTGCAGTGTGCCTGTGGAATGTGCATGAATGCAAAGCAAAGGAGCTGAAGATACAGAGGACAGGCTCAGAAGAGAAATGGGAAGGGGCACCAGAAACATGTTGCTGGGGGCCTGATAACCAAGACCTATAATTCTAGCTCTAAGGAAAGCTGGTGTGAGGAGCTCAGAAAATCAAGGCCTGTCTGGGACACTGACTGAGTTCAAGACCATCCTGGACAACTTCATGAGTTCCTGTCATAAACTGAAAAAGTAAACGAAGACTGGATATACAGTTCTGTGTTAGAGTGTGTGCCTCGCATGTGCAAGGACCCAACTTCAATCCCCAGTCATACAAAACAGAAAGAAAACAACACAAAACATCATTTCAATGAATAAAAATGAGCTAAACACCATTTTATGCTAAACTTACTACTGTTGAGAGTCAAGTTGAAGCTCTTTCAGCTCACTGACAGATAAGAATGATTACTCCGTCACGAGTAACAGATTCAAACATTAAGTTTTGAAGACATAAATTAAACTCCATTTCCAGAGCCATGCAGAGAGATTATTAAGAGCACAATTCTATTATTTGGATATAATATTCTTTCCTGGGCTTCACATATGCTAGCTTTATATGCTTGGGTGAGAATGTCTATACTAGTATTCTTTTTTTCTAAGGATCAGATTCAAATCACTAAGAAACCGAGAGACTATGAATAAAACAAAAGCCAAATTTCTTGAGTAATATTTGAAAAATTTCCCATTAATATGGCACCAAATATTTGAACAGTCACCATCTAGACTAATTGACCACTGCATTAGCATAAAGAAAAAAATAGGTGTCTCATCAGACTCCTTTTTCTAATCAAGGAAAGAATAACAAGTGAATGCATTTTCCGTCTTGGCTACATCATCTGCCATCAAAAATGGCACCTCTGCATTCAAAACCAATTATGATTCTGATCCATGCAATTAAGTAATCAAGCCCTGTTCCTGAAGTTAGAGGCTCCCTTCTTGTCTCACTCTAGTCTGACTTTCTGTGCTGTATAGCAGTTCCTTCAGCTTATCCTCTTCCATATTGACTATCCATCCTTAACAGAGAATCCCATCCCAGGCAAAGGTTGCTCACCAAGTATTTCTTACATTGGACAAACTGGTAAATCAGACTAACATGAAGGTAATTATTAGTTTCTCTTTCTCCAAGCAACATAGATTCTCCCTTACTTTGAGTGTTCTCATCACTGGATTCTTTCCCTCTGTTAATGTCCTGGCCAATCTCACTGTCAACAATATCAAGGGAAAAGCATTCCAGATATCTCCGTCTTATAGACTTTCAGAATTTGAATACTGAACATGGAACATTTGAAATCACTTTGTTTTAGAAGTAACCAAAATTGGTTCTATGAACATGGCGTATGTTGAAATCTGGGTGACATTTATTGAGCTAACAACACTAGCTATTAGCAGAGACAGGTTACAATAAGGCCCCAACTGCCTTGGTCACTGCAACTGATCCCAATCCCAGGTGAAACCAAATTGAGAAATGAGGAAATCGAGAAGCCATTTGATAAAAGGACTTTGATCAACATGTTCGAGACAATACAGATTAAGGAAGCTCAAAGGTCAATCCTATCTGCTCTCCAACAGAAATTAGTTACTAATTAAAGAAAAGTCTTGAAAAAGTTGATTAAAAATGACTTTTTTTTCTCTTAAGAGACCTGTTTATCACCATGGTAGAGTGGTTTCGGGGGTTGGCCACCCACATATTTCTCACTTCTTGAAAGCAAAGCTGACAAGACAAATTGCTAATACAAATAAATTTTATCTTTCAAATATTCATGGAAGGCTGTGGTCATTTACACTGGCAGAGAAATGGATGTTACCAGAAGTGCCTTTTCTATTCTTTAGGTGGGTCACTAGTTCTTGATCCCTCAGAAAGCACTTTTACTGTCCATCTATAGGTTTACTGATCATTCTTAGTATATGTACTCCCAGCACACTCATCATGTGGGCCAGTACACATAACCTTCTCTAGGTAATGAGCAAGTGTCAGCTAAAGCTCTGTTGTGGACCCTCAATGGACTAGCTTTCACATATCAGGCAAAGTGACTAAATTTATCCAAACCCATACCCACAAAAGCCCCCTTAAGACAATGTGGCCATCTTGTTTACGGTTTCCTCCTTGTACTGAGAAAATTGCAAGTGCTTAGAAAAATATATTTGCCAAATGTTATCAACAACAACAAATGAATGGCTGAGTGCACAAATAAATGTGACTCAATAAGTACCATATCAAACAGGATTTCTGACTCATTAGAGCACATACGGACACTACCTGAGACACGGCTTTGCTTTTTCATGCAGTGATAACAAGTGAATGTTCTTACTTTGTATCCTTTTTTTGACTCTATAAGCACAAGTAGTTTTCTTAAGGAAGTGCTGTTATTCTAGTTCAGTCTTGCATATGTTTGATCCCTGTATATTCTTTGTCCAAAGTTTCAGAATCTTGAAGGTTTAAACTATTCAAGAATGTGATGGGGCCTGGCGGTGGTGGCGCACGCCTTTAATCCCAGCACTCAGGAGGCAGAGGCAGGCAGATCGCTGTGAGTTTGAGGCCAGCCTGGTCTCCAAAGCGAGTTCCAGGAAAGGCACAAAGCTACACAGAGAAACCCTGTCTCAAAAAAAACAAACAAACAAACAAACAAAAAAAAAGAATGTGATGGGAATTTTCAAAATGTCATAGCATGGGTAGGTTTTCATAAGCCACAGAACATTATTATTAATACTTTTGAGAAGTGAAATAATGGATGGGAAACAAATGGCAGAGAAACATTCTGAAATCACTTGACTCCACCTAGAGAAGCCATCCGCTGCCAAAAGGACATGAAAGAATGCCATGTGTAGGGAAGGATGACACATGGTGGAATAGTTAGTGTCAACATGTGATAGTAACAAAGTGAGCTGCCATTTAGATCACAGATCTAAACTACCATCTTCAATGACTAGAAACAGGGAAGGATAGTTGTACATGCTCCAGGCACAAAGACCGAATAGTATACACCTCAGAAAGAGAACTGTAAATTAAAAAAAAAAAATCAAACAAAATAAAAACAAAACACTTTCAAGTAAAATTACAAGGACATAACTTATTCAAAACCACAAATTGAAAAAATATTCATTTTTTTCTTTTATTATAGGTTTGGAGAAGTTAATAGAAATTAAAGATGCAGTGTGATAAAAAAAATAGTACAAATAATTTAATTGTTCATGCTTTGTCGAGCCAGCCTGCCTGTTTCCCCGTTTTTCCTTCCTTTTTCCCCTCCCTCCCTCCCTCCCTCCCTCCCTTCCTTTCAGAACACCTACTAGAGGTGGCCTAAGGTAATGGGGTTCCATAATGATTTTTCTCCACAGTTCCTAACTCCATGAAATTTATCTAACAGGTATTTATTATATAACCACACAGATCTGCAACATTTTAATTGTGATAAAGTAGACCAAGAGAGACATTCGCAGTGGTTTAGACTAAACAATGAGGGTTTAGTCTGGCTACTGTAAAAAGGCTGAGAAAGATCATGGCAGGTCAACAAGGCTGGAATTAACCAGGGCAATGGGAATGGGAGCAGCATCCAACCAAAGGATATATGGGGAGATGGAACTCAGGTCACGTGAAGTCTGAATGCAAAAGGCAGTGGAGAGGCAGATAGTGGATAAACCAGAAAAGGTCCCCAGCTATTGCAAGATCCTAACTGGAAGCCAGTAGTGTTTTGATACTGACTGAAAAGGCAGAATGGCTTTAACTAGCAGGAGTGTCTTTAAGAGAGGAATTAAGGGCGGCATGGAAGCGTCTATCAACTTACAAGGAATAGTCACATGAGGACTCCAGAGGGCAATGTCATGCAATAGGTTTAGGGAAGAACAGTATTTAAGACAGTAGGCCGGAGACTGGATTTCTCTGAATGATGGCCCGCAAGGTTGGCCATTGGCTGGCATCTGGGGCCTTGGATATTGGGAGTGATCTCATTATGCCCTGATAAGAATGGCACACAGTACTTAAAGTCTTTGGGTCTTGGGTGTGTCAGAGCACCTGCTTTCTTTCTGAGTGCTGGGACTTTGGAACACAGGAAGTGTGGGGGACTAGGTGACCCATCCACCCCCACCAGCCAACTGAGTCTTTTAAGACACCATGTCTCATGTTACCACATTCAGTGCTCGGGAGGATAAAGTGCGTTCCTGGCACTTCACTAAGAGAAATCTCTTGGAAGCTTGAGCCTGGCTTCTTCTGGACTTTGCCTCATGGGACTTTTCCATCTGCTGATTTTGCTTGGTATGCTTTCCCTGACAATAACCATAGCTCTGAGTGTGACTACGTCATGATTCATGTGAGCCCTCCTAGTGAGTCACTGAACTGGGTGGTCTTGGGGACCTCCTATTAAGTTTAAACTAATAATATGATAATATGGAATATGGTAGTTGAAGTTCATGGGTTAACTCTTGGCTGGAGATCTGGTCCTATCAGTGGTATGTATTCTCCCCAGACTCAATGTCCAGTACATCTTGACATAGAGAACTGAAAGAAATTCAAATAGGCACAAACTTAAGAAACAATCAATACATTAATTTTTTTCAGATGTACTGATGTTAAGAGGCTTTGAGAGGGTCTAGACTTAGTTAGTGGCATATACTAGTACAGTAAAACCAGGTCTCAACTCAGTGGTTCCAACCAGCATGCTAGTCCCTGCGAAGCTGGAGTCTGCCCTTCTCAGATGACTCTTCCTTGCCTCAGAATATACCACATGCTTGCAGATTTCCACCATGTTGCATTTTCAATTAAAAGGACTAAATGAGGCATCTTAAAAGGATGATTTCCAAGCTGCTGGGACAATAATGCCACAAACTCCACCAGATTTTACTAGAGTCAAATGACAGTATAAACCAGTAGGAAAGTGTGTGCCAACCACAGAAACAGCAATGCCTCAAACTCTTGGAGTACTGAACACCATCCAGTTGGCTGAGAATGGACCATGTGGCTTCAAATCATTTTTTGCAATTACTATGCTAGCTAGTTCATCTTTTTTTGGCAAATATGCCCCCCACACAACTGAACTCAGCTAATTTTCATTCTGCTGATCGGCAAATATGATTCCGAAAAACCACCCAGGGAGCTTTCATGAAATCTGAAGCAGTGTATCAAAAACATGAGCCCATTTGTTATTATCTATCTGTCTTGACACCATGCAAGGATATATACTAAATAGGCCACCCAATATCCATCTCAGGAAGTTCTCAGATGCAGAGTCTAGAGTGCTGGTCCCAACCAGCACTGTCAGAGCCAAAAAGCAAAACCGTAAGGTATTTCTCTCTCCCCGCAAGTTTTACTTTTAATTAATACATCAAAACTTTAAAATGTAAGGGGAACCACATGCTATTTCAACATGTCTTCAAGCATTTACCATTTCTCTGTGGAAGAAACACTCCACGTGCTTCTTCCTAGCCTTTTGGAACATTCAATGTATCATCTTTGCTACAGTCAGGGTTTTCTGCCTTGGAACACAGAGCTGCCTTCTACCTCACTATAATCTGGTATCCATTGAGCCTTCCCTTTCTTTACTCTTTCCTTCTTACATCTGAGCTTGCCTTTCCTGGGTAGAAGAAAATACGTTTTAAAAGTTAGTTACTATGGGCTTCTCCAAAATCATCAGCAGATCCTAATTATTAGACAAGAATTATCATGCAATGCTTTGTCAATTGTCTTGAGTAATGAATATTTAAATAACTAAAGAAAAATGTTTTCTTTTCTATTAAATCTATGCTTTCATCCAAGTTTCAATTCTAAGTTGTCCTCCTCCTATTTATCAACAGCTCAAATGCTGCATTCCAGTAGGAATATGTCTCTTGGGATGATTTAAAAAACCTTCCACAAAGAGAAATATCCCACCAAAGGATAACTCCCACAATGCATGAATGATGACTCTGAAAGAATGAAGGGATGCTAATTAGGATAGGTGACTTCAGCTGGGTTCTTCAAGCTTGTGTATATATGAAACTGCATACAATAGTGAATCCCCTTATCTATACAGCTGGTGTTCCCAGATGCTTCATGAAGAGCTCTACTTAATGGTACAGTCTTCATAGTCAAACTAAACTTTCCTTAACAGTGCT